TTCTCCTTAGGGTAACGGGAGGAGACAAACTAGCGTCCTCCCGTCACCCTAGGCTCAGTATACTGTGAGCTGCTGTTCGCGGTATACTAAGACGCCGCAGCTGAAGCGGATCCCGACAATTGTGCCGGGATCCGCCCAGCTGCGTGACTGACAGCTGGCTCTTCTCTCTGTCCGATGTCCCGCCCAGCTCACTGGCGTCTTGTTGCCACCAGCTGAGTGGGATGCTGTGGCTGGCATCCCGACTAGCTCCTGGCAACCAGTGACATTGGGGAGCTGGGCAGGATGCCGGAGAAAGCCAGAGCCAGAGGCACCGGGCACCACCAGTATCCCCCTCCCCCCCCCCCGGAAATGTGGAAAATGTGCACTGCCAGCAAACCAGTAAACGTGCAACGGTAGCGCCACACTCCATTAGCCCCTCCACCCCGTATCACACACCACTAGCACACCAGCTGCCTCCCCTTATGCAGTGAAAAGTGTAGGGACACTACCACTGCCAATGTTCACACACTGTACTGTAGTACATAATGGAGCAGTGTTTTTACCCTAGGACAAGACCACAGAATGCCTTCCCCTCCCCGTCACCTTCCCCTTAACATGATGGGGTGCTCTGTAGTCCTAACACACTTTCTGTCTTAGAATGATAGGGTCACTTTATCTATACATCGGAGTAGAGTTGGCTAGTTTAGTCCAGTGGGAAAGGCAAAAAAAGGATAAATGAACTGTGTTTAAAAAAAGCGCACTTCTCCTTTAACATAATAACTCTCTGACATCTTTTCCGACACAAATAATGTTACATTGTTTTCTAAGGACATATATGGCTTGTATGCTACAATGTTTTATTAAATTCCCTGCTCATGTTTTTGTCATTATAAGCTGACACATTTGATTGAAAAATATACTTTATTAATGTAATAAAATATACAAAAACAAGCTATACAATCGGGGTACATTATTATTATAAGCTGACACATACAGTAGAATAAAAATGTAAAAAATGCATTTTAGGTTTTTTACAATTAAAGGAGAACTATGGGGTCTGTGTTTTTCCCCATAGTTCTCCTTAGGGTAACGGGAGGACACAAACTAGCGTCCTCACCCCCTCATAGTTCTCCTTTAAGTTTTATTTCCCATTTTAAACTTTTATATATTTATTTTTTATATTTCACATAAAAGCTGCCGCCTGCTGGTCCCAGATGTTCATGTGCCTCCCTTTGTGAGGATTATAAGGGTACCATTATGTTTACCTGCTGGGGTAATGATTACATAACCAAATCTCGAAAAACTCACCTCGGACTTTTCAGGTACCAACCCACACAAAATGCCGTTTTGTATAAAAACAATTGATCTTTATTATTACAATATGATTCCATAAAACTAATACTTCATAAAAACATACAAAACATGGTCATATGTGTTATTAATCATCCTGTGCACATCGAGATGTATCATCCTGATACTGTATGAGTATTATTGTATAAGTAGTATATTGAGTATTATTGTACACATCCAAATATTTATTAGAATTTTAAAAGCTGTCTGTGTACAAAAACAATGCGCACTGGCCTCTCAAAATCTTCTAGAATTCTGCTTTTCCTTGTCTCCAGATGAGAGAAGTGGCTACAGGGGACCAGTCACATGGAGAAGAAGGAAGCCTGCAGAAACTATAAGGATAAGGTGAGGAAATCTGCATTTAATCTAGACAAAACTAGGGATGCACAGATACTTTTCGAGTACCAGTGCAGATACCTGGCATTTTCATGAGAACTACCAGGGTTGCAGCGGTTGCAGCTGGGACCTGGCTCTGGCGCTCCACCACTGTCCTGAAATCATTAGTCTGTATTGTTTTAGAAAAACTGTCACATGACAATAAACAAAAATGTATCAGTACTCGTACTTGTAAGTACTCGGCAAGTACCAGTACTCGTACTCGCAAAACTGGTATCTGTGCATCCCTTTATTTATATTTATAAAAACAAAATCGTACATTAAAACAGAGATGTACAAATCCCGGGAGCTCCGTGTGCTCCTTACAAATTACAGCGGCCTCCTAATTTTTGAATTTTTCTCTAGTGTAGTCTTGGAGCTCAAAAGTATCGGTACATGTACTCGTACTTGTACCGAGTACTGTACTTGGTATCTGTGCAACCCTAGACAAAAATTATTATTATTACACAGGATTTATAGAGCGCCAACAGTTTGCGCAGCGCTTTACAATATAAGGAAGACATTACAATTAGAGCTGCACCGAAATGGAAATTTTAGAACCGAAACAAAACCGAAATAAAAAAAAATGTCAGGCCGAAACCGAAAATGTTTTTTATTTTTTCAATTTTTTTTTAATATTTTATTTTTTATAAACTTTTTAGGGGCTTCGGGGAAATATTGGGGGTCTAAACAGACCTCTGATATTTCCCTTTTAAAATAGAAAAAGAGATTGAGAACACAGAGTCCGCAATCTCTTTTTCTGTGTCCCCTGTTATCAATGAACAGGAATCCGCTATACTGAGTGTTCCTGTTCATTGATAACATGAGAATATTGTTTGTTTACTATAACCACAACTATGAATGAACAGGAAGTGATGTAGAGGTGATGTAGATCACTTCCCATTCATTCATAATTGAGGATATAGTTAACATACCATGTCCTCAATTATTTACACACACTCAGCGATCACTGATCACTGAGTGTGTGTATCTTGCTTTTCTCTCTGACACGCTGTCACAGGAGGCTGATCGAGCGGTGTAGAGAGGAGAGCCCAGCCTCCTGTGACAGTCTCCACCCCCACACCGCTCTGCCGGACTGTGATAGGCTGCTGAGCGGTGTGGGAGGAGAGACGCGGCTGCTCACAGCGCTCACGTCCTGCAGAGCTCGGCCGGCTGTCACTTTCTTTTCTCCCCGCTGGAACACAGAGCAGCGCCCAGCGGGGAGGAAAGAAAGCACGCATGCAGCGATGTATCGGCCAAAACATGGCTCTTTCGGCATTATGCCAAAAGTGCAATTTTCGGCCGATATGTTTCGGCGGACGATATATCGGTGCATCCCTAATTACAATCACAATACAATTCAAGACAAGATGGTAAGGAGGGCCCTGCCCCTGAGGGCTTACAATCTAAAAGGGAGGAGCCAGTGATACATAAGGAGGGAGCTGTGTGGGGGATGAATTGTATGAGAATGTGATGGTTGAGTGGTTAGGTTGAGGTGGAATCGGCTTTCCTGAAGAGATGAGTCTTAAGGGATCGCCTAAAGGCAGTCAGAGTGGGAGACAGACGGACAGGTTGGGGTAGAGAGTTCCAGAGGATGGGAGAGGCTCTAGAGAAGTCCTGAAAAATAAGCATTTAAAGTCCGGCCCTCCAGCTGTGGTGAAACTACAAATCCCATGATGCATCTTTCTCCGGGAGTCATGTCTGTGGCTATGAGAATCCTGCAATGCCTCATGGGATTTGTAGTTCCACCACCGCTGGAGGGCCGGAGTTTGGCTACCCCTGATTTAACCCTTGCAGTGCGGAGAGAGCCCCCCAATCAACAGCAAAAGTAAATTTGGCGTTATCTCAGTCTGCTCTGCGGTAACGGCGACGCTTCACATATGACAGCAGCCTACACTTCCCAGCGCCGGTATTATTGTCACTGCGGATGAAGCAGCGAAAGACACAAACTCGTCTCCAGTTAATGGGATTTGCCACGCGGCAGGTTATGCACCGGCACTGCGAGAAGACGCAGAAAATTCAGGATGAAGCATCCAGCAAACGTGGCCGTAAGAAGATAAAGTCCCGCCAATTACCCAGGCGGTATTGTGAATCGAGTGGCGGCCTCCCATCTCTCCTGATATACAGAGGGCCGCAGATAAGCAAGCAATTTGGTAATGTGAAATGGGCTCCTGGCTGATTGGAGGGCGCGTCTGCCTGATCCAGCCAGCCAGCCCGGATCGCATAGCGGCGATCCGGGCTGGCTGGATCAGGCAGACGCGGCTCCCCAATCAGAGTGGGGGGAGGCCTGTAGCCCCTATCTTAATTTTGGTTGCCCCCGTCTGCCTGACATCTTGTGTCCGGGTTTCATCTGCCATGAAACCTGGACACAGCATTCGCAACCCTGGCTGTCCGGGTTGGGGCATCTCATTATAGGGACGTCCCTGTTTCTGAGCTCAGTGTGTATTTTCTGCATTTGTCGCACAAGATGAGCGTCTTGCTTGGCGAGTTTGGGGGCACCGTTAATGACAAATTGCACCTGTTGCACTAGGGGGCATGCAGGCTAAGGGGTTAAAAATGATGCAAACTAGGAAAACTATTTTTATTTTGCTTATTTTTTTATAATAAAATAAACAAAATCCGAGTTTACACAAGCTCGAAATATTTACACAAAATAAAAACAACAAACTGCCCATCCAGGGAAGACCTGAGGACACCCGGCTATTGTTTTCCTTCCTCGCCCGCCCGCCCGCCTAACTTTTGTACGGAGAAGATAAACGAGCGCCTGAAAAATGAAGTCGGTCCGTGAGTGACAAGCACGAGACCCAATAGAAGACGCCAAGGGGGCGGTGACTTTGGCAAGGCAGCCAGTGGCGTGCTGAAGGGGCGGGTGTTTCGCAGACACGTGTACAGAGGAAAGCCGGAAGTGGAGTT